GTTCTAATCTTTTTGTGGGGGTGGTGAAGCTTAGTATTTAAAGAGTCTACCAATTACACCAGCAGTCTGCACAGAAAGAGCTTGCAACCACCCACCACTGCTTCAGTTGAGAAAATATGCAAAGATATTTCTAGGAAGACAGAGCCTTCTCTATTTGATGGATGTTCCACCATAAACAAAATTGAAGAGAATAAATAAACCTTGTGGGAAAGGTTAATTTAATTCCACATTGCAACAAGTCCAGAAGTTGCTCGTCAGCCTTCTCCACATAACACTCCCTATACAACTCCTTTGCCATCTCCACGCCAATCACCACAGCAAACACGCAAAGTAATGGGAGTTGTAATGGAAAAAAATCTAATAAACCTCACTTCACAGCTATTTCTGCACAAAATCTTTCCCAGGCTCTCAGCAAAGCTCCAACTTACTGCCAGAAATGGCAGAAGAAGCAACTGAAGTATCTCTCTCCTCATCATCTAACTATTAAAGACACTTCAAATGGAAAATGGGATCAAGATGCCTCAGTCATTAGATCCTAACTCGAAGCCAGTCACAGGTAAACGTCGGCAAAGGCCAAAACCTTCATCATTAAGAGAAATGAACTTTTGGGCTCCTACTTCAATGTAATATTTGTTAGCGTAAATGAAAAAGATACCTGTAGGTGCCTCAAGGTTTAATGTTTGTTTATCTTATTGACTATCATAAATTCTAAAGATGCGGGAACTGTTTTTGGGTAATTCACGTACTTTTTAAGAATTAATACAGTTAAAATAAAAATGGGTTGGTCTAAATCTTAGGTACAGGATTAGTTTCCCTTTCTCCAGGAAAATAAGTATACATTGATAGTTAGTGTAAATAAAAATGACTTAACATGCCATTCCTGTCTTGATTGGCTCTTGATATAAAGTACTCTTAAAATTTTTAAAGGACAGTGTCTTAATATCTGATGTCAAATTAAAAAAGGGTAAATATGCTGCTTCACAAATGGAGATAATGTTAGTATGTGTAAAATAGTTGGTGCTCTATGCTGATGTGACTGTAATTATTAAGTACCATGGATATTTTTTTTATTTAGGTTGATTTGTTCATTTATGAATGTGGATAATAATGACAGATGCAAATACATTGAGAGGAATATCACATACCATAAATGCTAAATAATTATGTCCTTATCTTGCAAGTCAGGACTGTTAAATGTGTGATGAGCTGAGGGACTAATGTTTCCCTAGATATCTTAGAAAAGCCACATTCATATTGTAGCATAAAATTTGTACACTAGGTTAATAATGATCATAATCACTCAGTTTTTAAAAATGCTTTCCATGTGCAGCAACCATGTACATGAAGTGCCAAATGTTATTGAACATTAATGTTAAATAAATAAGGACAATGAAGATTTC